CATTTCAAAGGTATTGGATATTGCAAATAGCAAAAATCTATCAAAATATCATCTATCGAAATAAAGCAATTTCAGAGATGCTCCAGAAAACTGATACGATAGGGACTCATTTAAGATAGTCACATCATCTGCTTTCTTATAAAAGTAACGTTAGTAATTTCATCGCCATTTCTTACTAGACTACTATATTTGAGAATATTCATAGTTTCCTGCTACAACACGATACAAGTCTATAAGCTCAACATCAGGTTTTATGTTTTATACAAAAAATCGATAATCATCTGTACAATAAGTGATCTACTCGATGTAACGTAACAGCTACGAATGGTTTTGCATGGGAAAGATTAGAAAACTGAAATTTTTATCAGTGCTAACAGGGCAGCCGACCGTTGTCAACAACAACCCTGTATATCGTGGCTTCGTTTTCAATGTCTTAGAACATAGAACTCATGGGAAAAAACTAGTGGCTGATAGCAAGATGGCTGAACTAGTGCCGGATCAAAGGCTTGTAATGCCGGTTCTGCAGCGGCCTGTCACTCAGCGATGCGATGTTTCAAAGAAAGCACCAAGCGCTACTCCAGCACTGACAAGTCAGCAGATGGTGTGCTAATCAGCTTTGAGGAACATGAAAGGAAGTGTGGGATGCTAAATGCGCACGGAAATGTCAGTTACACAAAGACGTGCTTCCGAGTCAAGGAAGTTTTTATGGTACCACGGGATACTGTTTACCGCCGGAGTTAAGCAGCAAGATTGGAAGACTGACAATTGCCGTATAAGACAATGAAAAGCGGCATCAGGTGAAAATCCTTATGTGTTTCTGGATATATGCATATATAGTCACAGCTGCCTCATAAAAATATAGTTCCTGGGTATTCGCGTGGCTGCGCATTACGATGGCGAGCCGAAGGGAAACAAGAATGACTGGGTAACTGTATACAGCACCATGAGATCTCTCCTCTAATACAACATGTTGTGTACGTATATGCCGTGTAGCTAACTGGCATTGTTCAAGGTTGTCGACCGTACCCAGAATCTACCTGCGGATCTTTATTACTGTAAGATCGAATAAACTGTTTTGTCCAGTACTGAGCTGCTGACCCAAGGGCAATCCGAATAAAAAATGTTACAATGGACTTTGACCCTGTGACAAAAAACGTTCAGTCAAAACAAGAATCGTCATATTCTATATGGCAATAGCTCATGTTTCAAGTTTAGCAACAATCGGTTGGCTTGCGAAATTATTAAGAATAATAATCTGTCGCTTCTCCAGATTTGTACCGCATGGCCGCGCCGTCTCCATATCAGCTTGTGCATAAAGATATTTTCCTTTGACCACGCACAGTGATGCGGTTTTGTGTATATTCATTGCAAATACAATGGAGCCGAGAATTGCTTGCTAGGTTCTCTAGGCCGCTAGAATGGAGGGGATGGTGCGCTACGCCGTGTATATCCGATCCACAGAAATGACGGTTAATGTTTCGCATCCCGGAATGAAAAGGCTTTTAAAATTTCCGGACAACCGGAAACGTCTTTGACATGAAACAAAAACGCAATGACGCTAATTTGTTATCGTTCGCCAAAGATCATATGCAGGCCACGATATCAGGAGCCCTGCAAACACTGCATCCGTGACTCGAACGGGTAGGAGGCTATCGAAACTACCTGAATGAATAACACCCGTTGCAGAAGATATGACAGACCGTAAGGAGGACCAGGTTCAGAAACGAAACTTTTAGGGTCCCTTTCGTTAGCTAGAATGGGTTGACTTAAAATTTACACCGGAGATATTACAATAAGAGATAACGCCAATTTTTTTTTATCAGAATGCTATGTTCAATTTGTATGATGAATTAGACATCTACTGACCTTGACTTAAATGCGATTTTGTATTCCAACCCTTTAGTATGAAAATGAAGTATATGGGATCTTTCTAACTCACAGGTCTGATTTACCGTGCTTTCGCAGTCTGCATCAATATTTCTTCGCGTAAAATCTGAGGG